TGAGGGTTGGAGGAGAGAACTTCACAAAAGAAAAATGTAATGCACTGCAACATATAGTTCAATAGAAGCTCTTTGGTTTGCAGGACAGTGGCTAACTCAGCAGACGAACCAGAGCTTCCTGCCCTTTGCAGATGGCATGAAGATAAGAGTTTGCCAAACAACTAAGATGGGCTCTTGGTTGAGCAGAGAAACTACAACATGGGACGCACAGAGCCACCCTATTGCCCTACTGTCATTCAAGCTTAAAGGAGACATATCTACAGACAGGGTTTGAGCCTAGTAATGGTGAGAACTTCCTTGGGTGTCTCAACAGCCTGGAGATGAAATTCCCAAGAAGGCAGAAAATAGAGGTAGCACATTGGTTTTATTGCTTTTTATTTATAATTATAAAAGTCATGTGTGCTTATTATAAAAATTCAAACAGTACAGAGGATATAAAGGGGTAAATAAAAACCCTCTCCCTGCCAATTTCACTCTTTAGGGATACCTAATGTCAGCAGTTTCTTGTGCATGCTTCTATACACTTTCACCTTTATTTAATGTTTCTCAAAGTAATATATGCGGAACACGTTTAAAAAGAAAGCCACATAAACACAAAGCTTGTAACAAAAACCAATAATCCCTGTCCTGCCTCTCCCCCCGTATTTTCCCAAGTCCCTTTTCTCCAAGGTAACCATTTTAGACATTTTTTAAATAGTCTAATCTTGGAAGTGACATTTTAGAGGGTTCTTCTGGCATTTATATATCTCTGCTTTTCCTAAATAATATGCTGCTAATGCTAATTTTTGATTAATCAATTTTAGACATAAAGTAATGACTTCTTGTATAGTGGATTCAGGATTTAGCTCTCTTATACCGCTGTCCCAACTGCTTCTTCTCCCCTATACTCCCAATAGAATTGTACTACAATTTTTTTGCTAAATCAGTATTTAGTATTTACATTATTATGCCTTACAACTATTTACTTGTTATGTTATTACAAGTACACCAAAATTATATATTTTTTTGTTTTTTTGAGACAGGGTCTCACTCTGTCACCCAGGCTGAAGTGCAGTGGCATAATTTGGCTCACTGCAGCCTCCGTGCCCCCGGCTCAAGCAATTCTTCCACCTCAGCCTCCCGAGTAGCTGGGACTACAGGTGCGTGCCACCATGTGCAGCTAAGTTTTGTGTTTTTTGTAGAGACAGGGTTTCACTATGTTGCCCAGGTTGGTCTTGAACTCCTGGCCTCAATCCACCCTCCTGCCTCGGCCTCCCAAAGTGCAAGGATTACAGATGTGAGCCACCATGCCCTGCTCAAAATTATATTTCTTTTCCTATCTTTGCTTTTCCTAAATCTAATAAGTGCCTTGGTTTTTCACCTGCTTAATTTTCTTTGAAATTATTATGTATAGTTAATTCTTCTGAAACTTTACAATAATCTTTCACTACAGTTTCCCTTGTAGTCAATTATATCAGGTAATCTGTCTGTTCCAATTTTTCTCTTGAAAAATTGAAAGTCTCCTAGACACTCCTGGAGACTCACTTTCTTATCTGATTGCACCCTAGCCCTTCCGCTTAGCTGTCTTCCCAGCACTTTTCTTCCCTGTCGTCCTGAGAATTCTTTTTTGCCTTTTTCTGAGTTGGGATTCCTGTTGCCTAGAATTTGTATCTTCCTCTTTCTCAGTCTGCACCCTTGTTTGGGAGATATCTATTCCAGTAGCTTCATCAGTTTTAACCTGATGATACTCCTCAATGAACCTCTCTTGAATCACTTTACTCTTTGGCCTGGTTATGCTCGACACCTGGTGCAACACTGTGATCCTAGAATCTCTACTCATTGTCACTCTTCAGGTGCTCTTCATCTCTTTCCTTGTTGGATCTTGTTTGTTTGTTTACTCCTATATTTTGCTGAGAAAGTGTATATTTCAGACATTGCATGACTGAAAATTTCTTCATTCTATCTTCACACTTGATTATAAAGTGGCAAAGTATAGAATTCTTAGGAAATATTTGTTTGCAGAGTTTCTAAGCCATTGCTCTCTTCCCTTCTTGACTCCAATGTTGTTAAGAATCCTAAAGACATTTTGATTCCTGATTGTATACAACGCATTGTTTCTTTTTGGAAGATTTTAGAATCTTCTCTTATTTATTTATTTATTTTTATTTTAGAGACAGGGTCTCACTCTGTCACCCAGGATGAAGTGCAGTGGCAGGATCATAGCTCACTGCAGCCTGGTCCTAGTGAACTTAAGCAAACCTCCTGCCTCAGCCTCCTGAGTAGCTTGGACAACAGGCATGCACCACCACATCTGGCTAATTTTTTAATTTGTTGTAGACATAAGGTCTTGCTAGGTTGTCCAAACTGGTCTCTAACTCCTGGTCTAAAGTAATTCTCCTGCCTGGGCCTCCCAAAGTGTTAGGATTACAGTCATGAGCCACTACACTCTGCTAGAATCTTCTCTTTGTCTTTGGTGTTCTGAAATTACACAATAGTGTTCTGAATTTCACTAAGTGCTGAGATATGAATATATTTTCATTCACTGTGCTGGGCAACTTCTGGAAGACAAAATCCTCTCCACAATTGGCTCAGCAAGTGAAGAGATCTTGGGAGGTCACATGCCAGCTATTTTACACTTTGGTCCAGAGTGAAATACTAATCACCTCAGCCTGCCTAACAGCAAAGTTCCTGGGAAATGCGAGGAGCAGAATAGAATATTTGGTGAACACCACTATGTCTGACATAGGAAGAGTAGACTATAGAATTTTTGTTATAAAGGGAAGGAGAGATAAGGTAGTAGCTAGGGTGACAGGAGGTGAGTGGATTTTGTTTTTTGTTTATCTTTTTTTTTGAGACAGAGTCTCACTCTGTTGCCCAGGTTAGAGTGCAGTGGCATGATCTCAGCTCACTGCAACCTCCACCTCCCAGGTTCAAGCAATTCTCCTGCCTCAGCCTCCTGAGTAGCTGGGATTACAGGCCCACACCACCATGCCCAGCTAATTTTTGTATTTTTAGTAGAGACAGAGTTTCACCATATTGGTCAGGCTGGTCTCAAACTCCTGATCTTAGGTGATCCGCCTGCCTCGGCCTCCCAAAGTGTTGTGATTACAGGTGTGAGCCACTGTGTGGGGCCTGTTTTTTGTTCTTCTAATTAGAAGGGAATTGCATGTGTTTAGAGGAGAGGGAGTGGTTAATCAAGGGGCATGGTACTGGTCTTGGAGAAGGTGGAAGGAAGAATGATGAGCCTTAGAAAGGAGATCTGACCCTCTTTCTCTGAGATTGGCAGGAAGGAAGTGAAGGAAGTATAGTTAGCTGAATTTGTAGGTGTAGAAGCAGGAAATTGAAGTTCACACCTGATATTTTAAATTTCCTAAGAAGTAGGAAGCAAGCCAATTGCCAGAATTGGTAGCAGTGGTGGTATGGTGGAGAAAGGACCAGAAGTAGGTTATGGGCGTTCAGGAGCTTGGAGAAGGTTCTTGAATCTATCTCCACTAAGCCATCTGCCTTCAGATGGACAACTATTAATACAATAGCTTCCCATCTGATTAACTTGCCTCCACTAAACCCTTTCAGCATACTACAAACAGGTTGACCTTTTTTAAAAGGACATATCAGATCATGCCACCCTCTGCATGAAATTGTACACTTGCTCAAAATTCTTGAAATGACCCAAATATTTGGTTCATATTGTCTTCTCAGCCTTGCCCTCAGCCCTCCATACACTCTCACCAGGAACCCTTTTCATTTCCTTCCTCCTTTCCTCCTTAAGGCCTTCATAGATCCTCTTCCCTATACCAGGAGAGCACTTCCATTTCACTCCTATTCCTTTCACTTGGTTAATTTTAACCCTTTCTTTGGGTCTCGAATTAAATGTCACTTTCTCAGAGAGGCCTTCTCTGATTCTTCAGTCTAGGCTAGGTCTTCTTATTGTATGCTCTTATGATACTTGGAGCTTTTTCCTTGGTAGCACTCTTCACAATGGTAATTATAGTTGGCCCTTGAACAACATGGGATTGAACTGCATGGGTCCATGTTTACATGAATTTTCTTCTGCCTCTGCCACCCCAAGACAGCAAGACCAATCTCTCCTCTTCTTCCTCCTGCTCAGGCTATTCAACGGGAAGATGACAAGGATAAACACCTTTATATGATCCACTTCCGCTTAATAAAGTAAATATATTTTCTCTTCCCTGTGATTTTCCTTTTTTTTTCTTTTTATTTTCTTTTTTTTTTTTTTTTTGACAGAGTCTCACTCTGTCACCCAGCCTGGAGTGAAGTGGTGCAATCTTGGCTCACTGCAACCTCCGCCTCTCTGGTTCAAGCAATTCTCCTGCCTTAGCCTCCTGAGTAGCTGGGACTACAGGCATGTACCACCACGCCTGGCTAATTTTTTTGTATTTTTAGTAGAGACGGGATTTCACCATGTTGGTCAGGATGGTCTCAAACTCCTGACCTCAAATGATCTGCCCACCTCGGCCTCCCAAAATGCTGGGATTACAGGCATGAGTCACTGCACCTGGCTCTCTGTGATTTTCTTAATAACATTTTCTTTTCTCTAGCTGACTTTAGTGTAAGAATATAGTATATAATACATATAACATACAAAATATGTGTTCATCAACCATTTATGTTATCAATAAGATCAACAGTAGGCTATTAGTAGTTATATTTTTGGGGAGTCAAAAGTTATACATGGATTTTCAACTGTGCAGGGGGTCAGCCCCTTAACCCCCATGTTGTTCAAGGGTCAACTGAGTATGTTTGTATATAGTGAACAAGGGGTCTTCCCTCCACTAGACCATAATTCCATGAAGGTAGGCACTATCTGTTTGTTTGGTCTACTGCTACATGTTCAACATGTAGCACATTGCCTGGTGTGTAACAGATGACAAATAAATAGCTGTTAAATGAATAGGTTAATCAATTTTGTTAATTAATATTGTGAAGAGATAATCAAGGTCACAATACCTATGAGAGCCCAATCAAGAATGGAGACCGCTTTTCCTAGGCAGCCGCTGAAGATGGCAGAGGTGCAGGTCCTGGTGCTCCATGGTCTAGGCCATCTCCTGGGCCTCCTGGCAGCCATCGTGGCTAAGCAGGTACTGCTGGGCCAGAAGGTGGTGGTCATACGCTGCGAGGGCATCAACATTTCTGGCAATTTCTTTTTTTCTTTTTTGAGAGAGTTTCCCTCTTGTTGTCCAGGCTGGAGTGCAATGACGCGATCTTGGCTCAAAGCAACCTCCGCCTCCAGGGTTCAAGCAATTCTCCTGCCTCAGCCTCCCGAGTAGCCGGGATTACAGGCGCTCACCAGCATGCCCAGCTAATTTTTTGTATTTTTAGTAGAGACGGGGTTTCGCCTGTCTTGAACTCCTGACCTCACGTGATCCACCCGGCTTAGCCTCCTAAAGTGCTGAGATTACAGGCGTGAGCACCACGTCCAGCCATTTCTGGCAATTTCCACAGAAACTAGTTGAAGTACCTGGTTTTCCTCCACAAGCAAATGAACACCAACTCTTCCGAGGCTCCTACCACTTCCGGGCCCTCTGCTGCATGTTCTGGCGGACGCTGCGAGGCATGCTGCCCCACAAGACCAAGCGAGGCCAGGCTGCCCTGGACCGCCTCAAGGTGTTTGACATCATCCCACCACCCTAAGAAAAGAAACAGCGGATGACAGTTCCTGCTGCCCTCAAAGTCGTGCATCTGAAGCCTATGAGGAAGTCTGCCTATCTGGGGCGCCTGGCTCACGAGGTTGGCTGGAAGTACCAGGCAGTGACAGCTACCCTGGAGGAGAAGAGGAAGGAGAAAGCCAAGATCCACTACTGGAAGAAGAAACAGCTCATGAGGCTACGGAAACTGGCAGAGAAGAACGTGGAGAAGAAAATTGACAAATACACAGAAGTCCTCAAGACCCACGGACTCCTGGTCTGAGCCCAATAAAGACTGTTAATTCCACAAAAAAAAAAAAAAAAAAAAAAAAAAAGAGAGAGAGAAAGAGACCACAGCACTGCTGCAGAGTCAGTCTACAGGGTTATGTTCAGCAGCTTCATTATGGGAGTGGAGAAAGCTGATAGTTGAACTGATGCAAGGTGGGTGTGGAAGAAAGAGGATAATGTTGGTCTTCATGTGGCACTATAAGGTCTAGGCGGAATAGGGAAGGGAAATATGGAGAGGAGTGATGAACTTGGTAGAAAATGGTAAGGTCAAAGACCTGGTGGAGTCCAGGATATGAAGGAGAATGTATGGTGGGAGTAAGAGTGAGAGAGCTAGGGAGCCAGGAGGTGATCATCTGAGATTTAGTACTCCAGACCTTAAGATCTCAAAAGTGGAGCAGTGCCAGGTCTTTAAAAAATCCAAGACATAATCATGGAAATGAATGAGTGGAATGGCTGTAAGGTGGTGGTTACTGTTGCCAAAAATAAGGAATAAGGAGGCTAGGATGTTAAATGGTTCCATATAGTGAAGTTACCTAGGTGACAGCAAGCCTTAAAGTGAAGACGACTTTGTGCCAGGTACCAAAATCTTTAAGGACTGAAGTGGTCAGAGGATGACTCCTGTAAAGATAGCATAGAAGATGGCATGAGCCTCAAACACAGGCCTTCCCCTCATTCCTTCCATTCTTGGATCAGTTATACAACAGTCAAAGTTCCAGGACAGAGGGTCTGATAGGCTGAGCTGGATGGTATAAGCTTCAAAGGACAAGTAAATTTTGCAACGGGTAGAAGTAACGTGGTAGGTTAGTGTCAATGGGGAATGACAAGACTGCCAGTGAAGTCCCCAGTAGTATACGGAAGATGTGAGAAAAGGCAGTGTCTAATCAAGAAGCTGGAAGGCAGGCATGGTGGCTCACGCCTGTAATCCCAGCACTTTGGGAGGCTGAGGCGGGCAGATCACCTGAGGTCAGGAGTTCAAGACCAGCCTGGCCAACATGGTGAAACCCCGTCTCTACTAAAAATACAAAAATTAGCCGGACGTGGTGGCATGCGCCTGTAATCCCAGCTACTCAGGAGGCTGAGGCAGGAGAATCACTTGAACCTGGGAGGTGAAGGTTGCAGTGAGCCGAGATCGCACCATTGCACCCCATCCTGGGGGACAAGAGCGAGACTTCATCTCAAAAGAAAGAAGCTGGAAGAAGATATAATGGAGGTATGGCACTCAGAAAGAGCCAGGTTTCCATTAAGCAGGAGGCAGAGAAAGTAAACTGCCAAGAAATTAAAGTTTGTAGGAGGGGTTTTTGCTTATTTGCCTATTTTTCAATGGATGAAGGATTATTCCAGCAGTAAAAGTAACAACATGTAATAGAGAGAGGACAGGCCCTGGTCAGAGGTCAGGGTTCCATTCCTGGCTCTATCACCTACTAGCCAAGCAACTTTAGCCAATTACTTTGCCAAAGCTCAGTTTTCCCACTTGTGAATCAGTAACCTAATAATTCAGTTACTTTGCGGATCAAATGAGATAATGGGTGCAAAATTGCATTATAAACTGTAAAGTATGGTCCCTACATATTGTTATCATTAATGTGTGGTGAGTTCACGCAAGCATTTGGACCAATGTTCTTATTCCTGACTCAGTTTGGAACAGTACTGGGAGGAATGCAGGCCAAATACTAACTCCATTTTAGAGGTGGGACAAAGTACCATGCTAAATTGTGCTATGTGGTATAATGGTGGAATAGAGAATGCTGTGTGAGCACAGAAAAAGGAACAATTCAGAGCCTAAGTGAACTTTATAGTGGAAATGCCATGTGAGCTGGCCATTGAAGATTAAGTCTGAGAAAGGGAGAGCTATTCCACTCTCCTTAGTTAGTGGTAGAGATCTAAGTAGAAGCCAGGGCCATAAACATGCAGTTAGGTGCTGCTTCCCAGTGCTCCTTGACCCCCATATGCTGCAGCATATTCTCTTTGCTTTTGCTAAGGGCCTAACTGCCATGGGAGCACCACCATTCTTGCTTAGTCTCTTTGCAATTTGCTGTCAACAACTTACTGTCAGTGTGCAGATGTACAGTTCACATCCCCCAGATATGCAGCATCACACTTCAGTTTCTGCCTCTGAGCCTCTTCCAAGTTGTCTGATGATGCCTGCTGTTGGCTGACTGCCATGCCTTATCTGGGAATCAATGAGACCAGTAGGTCAACTGTGAGCAGTTCTCCCAGGAAACCAGCAGGGTTTTAAAGGAATCATGACTTGTCATACACACTGTGATTGTTCTACACCTGAATGAGGTTGCTAGAGGTCCCTCCATCCTATCCCCTCCTCCCCTATTTCCTTCAGTGACTTTGCAGAAAAAACAGATCCTATTTGGTTTCCTTCTTCCTCAATCTCTTAGGTTCCCAAAGTCTGACTGTTCCCTTCATACTTTTTCAAAGGGCATTGGTGGGGACCTGGTAACCCACCTCATTCATAAAAACTTGGTTACCCAGTGGTGGGCCACATTTCTATTTAATAGTCTGCCATAATAATAACCATGGTATATCCATTTTACAGATGAAGAACGTAAACCTCAGAGAGGGTAAGAGGTGAGAGGCTCAGGGTGGGGGAAAAAGCAGAACATGAGACAGTAATACAGCCTAAGGCAAGGCAATAATAACTATCTGTTAATGTTTGGTTGCCCAGCATCCATTTCCCCACTTCCTGATAGTACCCTGATTTCTGTACACATTATGTGCAGTCTTGGTGGGAGCAGACATTCAGAGAGGCCTGTTTCCCACTGCAGTTAGGGGAGGGCTACAGAATTCTGACCTTTGAGATTTAAGGGAAATAGCAGAAGTTACCTCCCTGCTGACACTAGTATGCAGCCTAGCCCACACTCCATGTTTAGTAAATGTCATTTCTGCCCAGCAGTGTCTTTTCTTACAGTCTGAGTGGTGTTAGGCAAGTCACTTAACATTATTTGCCTCAGAAATGATGTGTGTAGGCCAGGTGTGGTGGATCACGCCTGGGTGGATCACTTGAGGTCAGGAGTTTGAGATCAGCCTGACCAACATGGTGAAACCCTGTCTCTACTGAAAATACAAAAATTAGCCACGTGTGGTGGTGTGTGCCTGTAATCTCAGCTACTCGGGAGGCTGAGGCAGGAGAATCACTTACACCAGGGAGGCAGAGGTTGCAGTGAGCCGAGATCTGGGCAGCCAGTGCGAGAGAGCGAGACTCCATCTCGGAAAAAAAAAAAAAAAAGAAATGTTGTATGTAACATCGCCATCGTTCCTAACGTGTGTTAAGTGCTCAGTGGTTAGTTACTGCTCTGATCGTCATAATTATTCTTTTGTTCCCAGTGAATGGGTTGAATCAATTGTGGTATATATCATCAGCATGACAGAAACTATTTAAAGTAATGTGGAAGCAGATATTGACTTATTGAAACAGAAACTGATTTATATGGTTGAATAAAAAGGTCAAATTATGATCATACTTTGATTAAAATATGCACATAGGCCAGGCGGGGTGGCTCATGCCTTTAATCCCAGCACTTTGAGAGGCTGAGGTGGGTGGATCACTTGAGGCCAGGAGTTCAAGACCAGCCGGCCAACATGGTGAAACCTCATCTCTGCTAAAAATACAAAAATTCGCTGGATATGCTGGCGTATGCCTGTAATCCCAGCTACTTGGGAAGCTGAGGCAGGAGAAGCACTCGAACCTGGGAGGTGGAGGTTGCAGCGAGCTGAGATCACGCCACTGCATTGCAGCCTAAGCAACATAGCGAGATTCTGTCTCAAAAAAAAAAACAACAAACAAACAAAAAAACAAAAGAATAGAATATACCTGAAATAGTATGTCCCAAAATGTTAACCAGTATTTATCTCTGTTTTATTTTTGCCTTTCTTCATTTTCTATTTTCAGTGAACAGATATCAGTTAATAGTTACTAATTTTTAAGTTTAAAAAGGCCATCACTTAGTGGAGAATCAAGGCTTGATTTCAGCCAGGGGCAAATTCAAGCAGATAGAACAAGGCAGCCAGGTTCCACAAAATAGGGATGAAGTCAGAATAGCAGTTACATCAGATATCTGGATGGCATACTTCCGGTTGAAAGGGCAGTCCCAGGCAGTGGCTAGATACACAATTCAACTCTCCAGGGGAGCTGGGGGCCACAGCAACTCAGGTCCTTGTAACTACTTTAATTCCCTGAAAACCTTTCTTAGTTACCCTTCCCATCTACCAGCCACTGTCTACTCCATTTGCCTAATTTATTTCCTTCCTAGGACTTACTCACTCTGAAAACACCTTATTTGGTTGTTGTCACAGGAATGTAAGCTCATGTGTGCAAATATTTTGTCCGTCTTATTCATCATATACATGCTGTGACATGAAAAGCGCCTGCACAAAATAGGAGCTCAATTAAAAACAGAATTAGCCGGGCGCGCTGGCTCCTGTAATCCCAGGCTTTGGGAGGCCGAGATGGGCAGATCACGAGGTCAGGAGATCGATACCATCCTGGCTAACATGGTGAAACCCTGTCTCTACTAAAAATACGAAAAATTAGCCAGGCGTGGTGGCGGGTGCCTGTAGTCCCAGCTACTGGGGAGGCTGAGGCAGGAGAATGGCGTGAACCCTGGAGGCAGAGCTTGCAGTGAGCCGAGACTGCGCCACTGCACTCCAGCCTGGGCGACAGAGCAATTCTGTCTCAAAAAAAAAAAAAAAAGAAAAGAAAAGAGAAGAAAAAAAGCAGAGAATTATTGCAAAATCAAAACCCACCAGGGAATAAAAATAAGGGAAACTGAGGCAGAAATCCAGCTGTGCCTTTGGGATCTACAAGTGTGAGGGGTCAGCAATTATGAGTTCACCTTTTGGGGTTGGATTCAAAGTAAGGAATATAAGCAAAAAAATACAATTTCAATGATCTTTTTTCTTTTCAAAAAGCAGTTATCACATTTTTAAAAAATGGTGATACTTCCAGAAGAATATGACACAGTCTCTATGTATGAGCTTATTGGAAGTCTAGGTTAAATGAGTAACTTCCTGAATGACGTGAAAAGTGATGAGGCTC